CCGTAGTAGACCGCTCGGAAGTCGGGTGTGGGAAGCCGGAAGAGCTCTGCGAAGATGACTTCCACAACTATGTATTCTAAGGGGAATCGGTCGCCATAGGGAATGGCAATCATGTTCTTGACACAGTCCTTGCGGCTGCCATTGAAGGTGATTATCAGTTCACGCACCTGTGTATATACGTGAGTGTGAATTGAGAGGTGAGCTCTGAGAGAGTGAAGGAGAACATAAATAGATACCAAGAATATACGTATATGTATAAAATATGTCTTTTCATATTATGTGTGCATCTTTGTCGTTTGTATGTCTTTGCATTGGTGTACTCTACCCGCATATAGACCAGTAGGTATATAGGCTGGCTGACCTAGAAGTAGAGCGGATGTTGCGATATAGTCAATAGCTCTCACAGCTCTCATAGCCCACTACAGAGAGCAGAGAATGACGATATGTGCCGTGCATGGATGTACACATACACTTATTACACATACACTTGTAATACTCATGGGTGTAGACATACACTTGTAATATTCATGGATGCAGACATACGCTTATATAAGCTGAAACACATGAGTATATATATAAACTTATGGAAATATACAGATGCATGCCTCATGCTTATAACAACAAACATGGACACATACACTTATAATATTCATGGTTGCAGGCATATGCTTATATAAGCAAAAACACATGGGTATATATAAAAACTTAGGGAAATACACAGATGCATGCCACATGCTTATAACAACAAACATGTACGCAGACACTCCGATTGGATCGAGTGCATATTGACCGATGCCACCGGCTCTCTGGTATTGTGATGAGTCTCGTGGTGTACCCAACCCCTCCCTTAGCCTACACACAACTGAGCACAGGCTATAGATACGTGGACCGTCATAGGCGAATGCGTGTGTACACGCACAGGAATGAAACTATCACACACACACTTATATACAAGAGTGCATGGACATACTTGTTGATCAATCACATATCGATACATGTGTACACGCACAGGAATGAAACTATCACCCACACTTATATACAAGAGTGCATGGACATACTTGTTGATCAATCACATATCGATACATGTGTACACGCACAGGAATGAAACTATCTTCACACTTATATACAAGAGTGCATCGACATACTTGTTGATCAATCACATATCGCTCGATATCATCGTTCTTCTGTAACTGGGGCAGGTCTCGGGGTATGTCTGATTCCTCCCACAGCCTGAACACGACTGACCGCAGCGGATAGATGCTTGTACCGTGCATATGTACAGGGATGCTGATCGACGGTATGGTGTGCGGCGTAGCCTCGGTTAACTCGTGGTCAAACGACAGGTACGGCCGATATATGGCCTGGTCATCCCAACGCTTGTTCTCCAGCTGTATTTGTTATGCGTGTAAGGGGTGAGAGAAGGTTAGAATAGACGAGTTATAAGTAGAATAGACGAGTTATGAATAGAATAGGCGAGCTATAAATAGAACATCACAGTGATGTGATAATGGTGACCATAAGCTTTGAATACAACGCTAAATGGTCGAATGACACGTTGCAGAATCTCGAACAACTAGTAGTCAACCGACAGATACGGCCCGTATATTGCCAGACATGCTCGTTTATACATCTCCTCTGTATATATATATATATAAATATAAATATACATGAATATACATGTAAATACTCACACACCGTTTTGACCTGCGTCCAGAGTGCTTCCATGCTCTCCACCTGAGCAGGGGATGTGTTGTGTGCATCGTCTCGCCATACATTCATGCACTGTGTGTAGCTTGTATTACGGTGTGCCATATACGTATCTAAGCGGCGCATAATCTCGTCCAGTTCCTTTGACCGTGACTGTGAGAGCTCTAAACCTACCCACGGCAGCGAAGCCATAACACACTCCAGATACAAATCAGAACGCTCTTGGGGTATGTCGGCTGGGAAAACAAAGTGGGAAGGTGGTTTATACGTACCAGAGTGCGTATGAGATGTTAGTCTGTATTGAAAGAGTATGCGCACTGTATATAGGCCATGTATGTACGTATGTGCGCGTATGTGTTGATACATTGGCCATTAACACACGCAGGACAGCCCTTGGGGTACGTCGACTAGGTCACTGTATGCAGGTGTCTATAGACAAGAAATTGTACTTAGCAAGCTTTTCTGTCTACCGTTGTGCTATATAATTGCTCACAGGCTACATATACATAAAAAGAAAATGTGGATGTACCCATTGTACAATTAAAAACAACAAGTCGAAACGGACGTCGGATATGTCGGTGAGCAGTCTACAGCAATATGTTTAAATATAGAAAATTCTGGGACTACGGGTTAAAAGTTGGGTACTAATGGTGCGAAGGCATACATGTAGGAGTGAACGGTATGCGCATGGACAAAATAATTATATTATACCAGTTCCAATACAAGGGTCATGAACACTTAATACAGCACTGGTCATGTTTTAAAAATATGATAAGAAATTCATATATATATATATTTATATATATATACATGCATACATACATACATACATACATACATATATACTTACATACATACATACAAACTACAAACATA